CCCTCTACACTGTCCCCCATCAAACACTCCCAGGACAGGGACAGCACGGGGTTAGATACAGAGTAAAGCTCCCTCTACACTGTCCCCCCATCAAACACTCCCAGGGACAGGGACAGCACAGGGTTAGATACAGAGTAAAGCTGCCTCTACACTGTCCCCCATCAAACGCTCCCAGGACAGGGACAATATGAATGCTGCTGATCTGAAAATAAATAGAAGGTTCTGGTGAAACCTGGCTGCATTTGGAGATGGACTATTAGTTTGAAGCCTTGACTTTGTTTCTATACCCTGCAGATGTGCTGATCTTCTGCCTTTTCTGTTTGTAATTTGGGTTCTGCCCGGTGCTTGATTCAGAGGAATGCTCTATTTCTCGTATTTGGCCATTGATTTCCCTGCAGATTCCCCTCACCGCTTGGTGTGTTGTGCACCGGGAGCTGGGCATCCCCTTCGCCAGAGAGTCTACCGAGGGCGAGCGCCAGCACACAGTCGCGGCAAGAGAAAGAAATCTGCCATTGTCGAGCCGAATGAGAAGCAGACGTGCGGTAAGTATGTGAGGGTGGCATGCTGCGCGAACGATCCCAGTGTGGCTTTCAGCACTTGGTATCTGTGTCGACATCGCTGGGTCTCTCCAACACCGGCCTGTCTCTCTGCACGTGCACCCTCCCTTCTGGAATTACCCAAGGCCCCCTCCTATTTCTCACTTCCAAACTTCTCCCTGACCACACCTCCCAGGGGCATATGGTCAGTTTGCACACGTTGAGTCATCCAGTCCATGCTGACCATAAATCCCGAACTAAGCTAGTCCCAACTGCCCAGTCCTTGGCCCATATCCCTGCAAACAGAATTCATGTACTTAGCCAATATTGTGCCCACGTCCACCACTTCCTCAGGAAGGTCATTGCAAACGCAAACCACTGTCTGTCAAAAAAAAGATCTGCTCCTCGTGTCTTTTTTAAATCTCTCTCCACTCACTTTAAAAATTGCCCCCTAGACAACTACAATTAACCCTATCTATACTTCTCTTTATTTTGTAAACTTCTGTCAGGTCGCCTCTCAACATCCTACCCTCCAGTGAAAAAAGTCCCAGCCTCTCTCCATAAGCCCTTCAGTCCCAGCAACGTCCTGGTGGATCCCTTCTGAACCCTCTCCAGCTTAATAATATCCTTCCTATAACTGGGTGACCTGAACTGGACACAGTGCTCCAGAAGAGGCCTCACCAATGTCCTGTAAAACCTCAATATGATGCCCCAACTCCTATAGTCAAAGGTCTGAGCAATTAAGGCAAGTGTGCCAAATGCCTTTTTGACCACCCTGTCTGTATGTGACACAAAATTCAAAGATTTATGTACCTGAACATGCTGATAGCACCAAGCTGTCCCTCACCAACGTCTCTCTCCATTCCTCTGATGCTCAATTCTCAAACCACACGTGTGTCAGCCAGCATCACAATCGACCAGCTTAGACCATCAGAAATAGGGACAGGAGTAGGCCATTTGGCCCCTCAAACCTGCTTTGTCATTCAGGAGGATAATGGCTGATCCAACATTCCTCACATCCACTCCTGCCCTTTCCATGTAACCCGACTGATCAGGAATCTCTCTAAATCAGCATCAAATACGCACATGGACTCTGCCCCCACAGCTCTCTGTAGCGAGGAGTTCCAAACACACTCAGTCCTCTGAGCTAAGAAATTCCTACTCTGCTCAGTCTTAAATTGGCGCCCCTTTATTCTGAAACTATGCCCTCTACTCCTAGACTCTCCCATGAGGGGAAACATCCTCTCAGTATTGACCCTGTCAAGCCCCTTAAGAATCCTGTATATTTCGATGGGATCAGCTCTCATTTTTCTAAACTCCAGTGAGTAGAGTCCCAACCTGTTTAACCTTTGCTGGTAAGACAGTCCCTCCCATACCAGGGATCATCCTGGTGAACCTTCTCTGAACTGCCTTCAATGAAATAATATCTTTGCTTAAAACTGCTCACTGCATGCCAGATGCGGTCTCATCAGCACCTTCTTCTAAATATTGTAAGAGCAAAGCTATTGTCTTTGTCTCCAACCTCCACCCAGCCTCCCCATCTTCCCCCACCATTCTCCTGTTTTCAACACCATCCATCCCTGTTCCAGGACAGAACGACAGGAGCTTCTCAGGGTGATGTCCCCTACCATCTTCAGCTACTTCATCAGTGATCTTCCCTCCATTGTACAAACTAGGAGCTGGACTAGGCCCATTAGCCTGTGCCACTCTTTAATAACCATGTGGCTGTTCAGTTCCTTCACGTTCTCCCTGAACACCTCTCACTTCCTTGCTTAAAAAGATCTATCAACCCATGGCACCGCACACACCTCCCCAACCCCACCGGCTTTGAAAAATATCTATAGACTGCCTTTTGAGGAAGAGATTTCCAAAGATCCTCCAAGAAGGAAAGGTTTCACCACATATTGGTCTTAAACTGGCAACCACTTGTCTTTAAACAATGGCCCTTTGTTCTAGATTCTCACAGATGGGAGCTATCCTGTCAGCAGGGTCTTGTATGTTTCAAAGTCATCCCTTACTGTCTTGAATCCAATGGATTCATGTATTCAGGCTTCAGGTAAACCTTGTGTGAACTGCTTCCAACACATGTACATTTTCCTGATATAAGGTGTCCAAGTATTGTGCACAGTGCTCCAGATGTGATCTCTCCTCGATGCCCTGCATAACTGAAGCACAACCTGACTACTTTTTTTCAGTTCCATGTGCATTGATCCATAACGTGCTGTTTATTTTCCTAACTGCTTGGTGTGCCTACACCAGTTCACGCACTGGGAGACTTAAATCCCTCTGCACCACCAGTTTGGAAATGGGGATGTTTGCTGATGACTGCGTAATATTCAGCATCGTTCATTCTTCAGGTATTGAAGTAGTCCTTGTGCGCAGTACCTGGGCAGTATCCAGGCTTGGACTGACAAGTGGCATTCATTCATTCCACTTGAGTGCAAGGCAATGACCATGTCTAACGAGATCCACTGCCCACGTCAACGTCCTGGGGTTTGACATTGACCAGAAACTGAACTGGGCACACCATGTAAATACAGCTGCCACAAGAGTGGGTCAGAGGCTGGGAATCCTGTAGCGAGTAACTTCCCCCCCTGACTCCCCAAAGCTTATCCACCATCTACAGGTAGTTCTCCTATAACACAGTATTTGTGTTCTTGTGTGACCTCACCCTATAGAAAGTTATGCCGTAGAAAATTGCCATCGAAGATCACGTTGTAGAAAATCACTATACCTGTACAGCAGACAGTTTGTGCTGTCCAAACACCGAACCACTATTTATCCATCACGTTACAGCCCATTCGAGTTAATGGAGCACTCATTAATAGCAGAACTACCTGCACAAGGCACAAGTTAGGAGTGTGATGGAATGCTCCCCACTTGCTGTGGATGGGGGCAGCTACAACAACACTCCATTCTGTCCACCCTGCAGTCTGTTTGTCCCCCAACCCCTGTCCATCTGTCCGTCCATCCATCCATCCCTCCCTCCCTCGTCCTGCCACCTGTCCTCCTGACCTCACCTCCTTCCTACTCCAACTCCAGTGGTTGCCAACCCTCTGTTTCCCTTTTACACCGCCACCCCCCTTGCTGTACCCTCTGTGTTTTCTGCCTCTGTTGTCTGGGATCCTGCCACCTCTGACCCTCTGCTTTCTCTCTGCCTGCCTCCTGTTGCCCAGTAGATATCCGCCTGAGGGTCCGTGCCGAGTATTGCCAACACGAGACAGCGCTGGAAGGGAATGTCTTCTCCAACAGGCCGGATCCCCTGGAGCGCCAGTTTGAACGTTTCTCGCAGGCCAACACCATCCTGAAATCACGGGACCTGGGCTCCATCATCTGCGACATCAAGTTCTCTGAGCTGACCTACCTCGATGCCTTCTGGAGGGACTACATTAATGGCTCGCTGCTCGAAGCCCTCAAGGGCGTCTTCATCACTGACTCACTGAAGCAGGCTGTGGGCCACGAGGCCATCAAGCTCCTGGTTAATGTGGACGAGGACGATTACGCGGCTGGTCGCCAGAGGCTACTGCGCAACCTGATGCACCAGCATGCCCCCTGAGGGCCACCTGCCCCTTTCTGTGCCCACCTTGAGGACCATCTGACCCTCACTGCGCCCACCCTACTTCCCCGAGGACCATCTGACCCTTCCCACACCCAATCCCTCACCCCCGAAGTCCATCTGCCCCTCCCTGTGCGCCCTCACCCCCACCCCCCCCCCCCTTCCCGAGGTCCATCTGCCCCTCTCTGTGCGCCCTCACGCCCACCTCAACCCCCCCCTTCCCGAGGTCCATCTGCCCCTCTCTGTGCGCCCTC